TGAGGGTCCCACTGCGTCTGCTACTGAGTATGATTTCTTTTGTGTGAGATGTCCCAGATGACATCCCGAAGCTGCAGATGAGAAAGTGTCTGGTCAGGGGCCCCAAGGGCCGCACAATCCCAGGCAAATCCTCTCCAGCCAGAGTCCCTCTCCATGCCTCCCCCTCCCACGGGGGCAGAGAGGGCAGACCTCATTCCTGCCCCACCCTGCCCTTTGGGCCCTGGATCCAGGGAAGGCTGTAACAAGCTACTTCCTGGGTATGGAGATGGGGCCAGCCCCCCTCTCACCTGTACACATCGTATTTGGGTCCTGGGGCCATGTTACTCTGCAGGAACATCTCAGGGGGCATGTAGCTGAGGGTGCCCCGCAGAGCCGACCTCTCGATGTACTGCGTCCGGGTTGACTGTTCCATCCATTTAGACAAGCCAAAGTCTGAAATCTGGGAGGAAGCCCAGGGTGGGGACAGGGGCAACAGTCTTGCCTCCATAGAACTCTTTCTCTCCCCTTCCCAGCCCAGCTCTCCCACAGTGATCTGGAGGACCTTATCTTTTCAGAGCCTGTTTCCTCATCTATAAGCCTGAAATAATATGAGTCCTTAACTCAGTGCTATTATGAGCACTAAATGAGTACATAAGCAAAAAGCACTTGGAGCAATGCCTGGCATAGTAAGTACTTGGGAGGTGCTGCCTTTATCCAGAGGGACTATGGACAAAGTTGCTCTTTGGTGAGCTTCTGTCCATTCCATCTCCACAGATCCTGAAGCATTTACACCACAGATATGTACCCCCTCTTTACTTCCATCCATTAATTCATTCATATGCTGAGTGAGCAGTCACTGAGTGCCAATTTGGCTGGGTACTGAGGTTGAGGCAGCAGATAGAAAAGATGAGAGCCTCACACCCACTCCTGTCCCAAGTGGTTATTCAGAAAGGGGTATAGTCACTAATGAAGTTGTCATATCCTATATAATAAAGAGCTAATATGCAAATGGTCATCACACCCTTGCGCCCTAGCGCAGGAACTGCTCAGACACCCAACACTGGGGAGAGAGGAACGGGAACCAGCCAGGCTGCAGGCCGGGAGAGGGACAAGCCATCTGCCTGGTGGTTCTGGGTGCCAGCACCTGCGGCCCAGGAGAGAGACAAGCTGCCTGCCTCGCGGTCCCGGGCGCCTGCGGCTGTGGCCTGGGTGAAGCCACCCGCTCACGGTCCCCTGCGGCTGTGGCCGGCCTAGGTGAAGCCTGCCCGGGTCCTGGGTGCCTATGGCCAGCCAGAGGGAGGGAAGCACAGGTCCGGGTGCCTGCGACTGGCCAGAAGAGGGAATCCTGGGTCCCGGGTGTGGGGCAAGGCAGAGGCGGTTAGGGGTGATCTGGCCAGCAGTGGAGCAGTTAGGGACAATCAGGCCGGTAGGGGAGCAGTTAGGGGCAATCAGGCAGGCAGGCAGAGGTGGTTAGGGGTGATCAGGCAGGCAGAGGTGGTTAGGGGCAATCAGGCAGGCAGGCAGAAGGGTTAGGGGTGATCAGGCAGGCAGGCAGGCAGGCGAGCTGTTAGGAGCCAGCTGTCCCAGATTGCAAGAGGCAGTTGG